AACTAAATAAAAAATCCACATTTTGTCATACTTAGAAAGAAAAAAAAAGCGGACGTATAAAACATGGGACGCTTGTTTAATGAATTTGATATTGGATGAGCGCTCCACTTATATAGCTATGAGCCAAACTAACCTGAACGCAGCGCATATGCTAGGCTAGGCGTCGCCAACTTACGGCCGCGTGCCACATGTGGCACGCGCAGCAATTTCTAATGGCACGCAGCCGCAAATGACATCACGAAGTCCGAACCAATAACTATTAAAACGCAAAGAAGATATTTAGCTGTTTCACATTTATTATATACTAAAGGACATATATACTATATATTACTATATAAAATATATTGTAGAACAGGGATAATGACCTTGACTTGTATAAAAAACTACGTATGCTGTTGGCACACTGGATGATTTTAAAACCCTAAGTCGGCACATAGCAAAAGGTCGCCGACCCCTGTGATAGGCTATGGGGACATCCTTCGTAGGACTAGCATAGAAATAAATACAATATGGGACTCATTAATAAAGAAAGAAAGAGAAATAGGAGTAGATAGATTCGCCTATCATCCGGTTTACCCTACTCCCTTGTCTTTTGTACAGGAGTAGAGGTTTAACCATTGTTTCCTGTTTAGGATTGCGTTTCTGGCCCCTTTTAAAGTCTACTTCAATTCTATACGTGTAACGTCTCCGCCTAAACTCTGAAATTTTATTTAATATTTATTTTATTTTTATTTTTTCTTCAGTAGAGTTAGATAACTTCGCCTATCGTCCGGTTCAAACACCTCCCTGTTCTTTTGGACATGAATAGCGGTTTATTCTTTAGAAGTGGGTTTCTGGTTCCTTCTAATGTCGTTTCATTCTCTTTCACTCCTTTAGAACCTTGCGTTTTAGTGGTATTATCGTTTTTCTTGGGGGTGAAGTGATTTAAAAACTGACAGCAAAACGTCAACAGCAGCAGCAGAAATCAGCCGGAATGTGTGCCATCAAGCAGTGTGTATTTGGACACAGTACAAACAGAAGAATCAATAAATGAGCAGTTTCAAAATCAGGAATAAACGTAAACAGGAACAATCTACCTACATCGATTAAATAAACGTTTCAGCTAGAAATTCCTTGAGATCAATGAAAATCGACAACCTCCTGAGTAAGTCTGGATGGCGCTGAAAACTTGTGATAATAACAACAAAGATGAGGATAGTAAAATATAAATGGAGCAGCCATTCGAATTCGAAGATGCCAGTCTACCAGACACCTCCTCGAGCACATTTGTATTTATTCAACACCTACAGAGCCCACCTGAGCGGACCTTAGTTACATTCTCTTGGAGAGAGCGCGTCATCTAGAGTCATCAACAGTTTGAATAAAGGCAGCATCTTCATAACCTCGGTAAAAACGTCTTGTAAGTTCGTGCTATTACAACCATTGACGGTCCCCAAATAGTTCCGTCTACGTAATTTCACTCAAAAGGTTTAGTTCGTGGTATGGTTTTCAGAAAATTACAAAGGTGCCGTACATCAAGAAGTCGCTTTCCTGACAAATCGACCATCCTGAGATTCGAATGTTCTAAACACTTGACCACCTGCCCATATTGAGGGTAGTAGTCCGTATGATTATAATGTAAATGACCGTAACTCATTTTCGTGAACCTGTTTCTTTAGCACAAACGAGAAAGTTTTGTCCAATGCCGTCAACGTTTGTTCTACGTTTCTTTCAAGTTAGACAAACGCAGTCAACGTTAGTTCAACGTTAGTCTAGCGAGCAAGTTAGTCAAACGCAGTCAACGTTAGTCTAGCGAGCAAGTTAGTTAAACGCAGTCAACGTTAGTCTAGCGAGCAAGTTAGTCAAACGCAGTCAACGTTAGTCTAGCGAGTTCAAACGCAGTCAACGTTAGTTCAGCGTTAGTCTAGCGAGCAAGTTAGTCAAACGCAGTCAACGTTAGTCTAGCGAGCAAGTTAGTCAAACGCAGTCAACGTTAGTCTAGCGAGCAAGTTAGTCAAACGCAGTCAATGTTAGTTCAGCGTTAGTCTAGCGAGCAAGTTAGTCAAACGCAGTCAACGTTAGTCTAGCGAGCAAGTTAGTCAAACGCAGTCAACGTTAGTCTAGCGAGCAAGTTAGTCAAACGCAGTCAACGTTAGTCTAGCGAGCAAGTTAGTCAAACGCAGTCAACGTTAGTCTAGCGAGCAAGTTAGTCAAACGCAGTCAATGTTAGTTCAGCGTTAGTCTAGCGAGCAAGTTAGTCAAACGCAGTCAACGTTAGTCTAGCGAGCAAGTTAGTCAAACGCAGTCAACGTTAGTCTAGCGAGCAAGTTAGTCAAACGCTGTCAACGTTAGTTCAGCGTTAGTCTAGCGAGCAAGTTAGTCAAACGCAGTCAACGTTAGTCTAGCGAGCAAGTTAGTCAAACGCAGTCAACGTTAGTCTAGCGAGAAAGTTAGTCAAACACAGTCAATGTTAGTTCAGCGTTAGTCTAGCGAGCAAGTTAGTCAAACGCAGTCAACGTTAGTCTAGCGAGCAAGTTAGTCAAACGCTGTCAACGTTAGTTCAGCGTTAGTCTAGCGAGCAAGTTAGTCAAACGCAGTCAACGTTAGTCTAAACGCAAGTTGTCAAACGTTAGTCTTAGTCTAGCGAGCAAGTTAGTCAAATGCAGTCAACGTTAGTCTAGCGAGCAAGTTAGTCAAACGCAGTCAATGTTAGTTCAGCGTTAGTCTAGCGAGCAAGTCAGTCAAACGCAGTCAACGTTAGTCTAGTGAGCAAGTTAGTCAAACGCTGTCAACGTTAGTCTAGCGAGCAAGTTAGTCAAACGCTGTCAACGTTTCTGGCGAGCAAGTTAGTCAAACGCAGTCAACGTTAGTCTAGCGAGCAAGTTAGTCAAACGCTGTCAACGTTAGTTCAGCGTTAGTCTAGCGAGCAAGTTAGTCAAACGCAGTCAACGTTAGTCTAACGAGCAAGTTAGTCAAACGCAGTCAACGTTAGTCTAGCGAGCAAGTTAGTCAAACGCAGTCAATGTTAGTTCAGCGTTAGTCGAGCGAGCAAGTTAGTCAAACGCAGTCAACGTTAGTCTAGCGAGCAAGTTATTCAAACGCTGTCAACGTTAGTCTAAAGCAAGTTTGTCAAACGCAGTCAATGTTAGTTCAGCGTTAGTCTAGCGAGCAAATTAGTCAAACACAGTCAAACGCTAGCGAGCAAGTTAGTCAAACGCAGTCAATGTTAGTTCAAGTCTAGCGAGCATGTTAGTCAAACGCAGTCAACGTTAGTCTAGCGAGCAGTTAGTTCAACGTTAGAAGAAGCGAGCATTAGTCAAACGCTGTCAACGTTAGTTCAGCGTTAGTCTAGCAAGTTAGTCAAACGCAGTCAGCGTTAGTCTAAGGAGCAAGTTATCAAACGCAGTCAACGTTAGTCTGGCGAGCGTTAGTCAAACGCTGTCAACGTTAGTTCAGCGTTAGTCTAGCGAGCAAGTTAGTCAAACGCAGTCAACGTTAGTCTAGCGAGCAAGTTATGTCAAACGCAGTCAACGTTAGTCTAGCGAAGCAAGTTAGTCAAACGCAGTCAACGTTAGTCTAGCGAGCAAGTTAGTCAAACGCAGTCAATGTTAGTTCAGCGTTAGTCTGGCGAGCAAGTCAGTCAAACGCAGTCAACGTTAGTCTAGTGAGCAAGTTAGTCAAACGCTGTCAACGTTAGTCTAGCGAGCAAGTTAGTCAAACGCTGTCAACGTTAGTCTAGCGAGCAAGTTAGTCAAACGCAGTCAACGTTAGTCTAGCGAGCAAGTTAGTCAAACGCTGTCAAAGTTCAGCGTTAGTCTAGCGAACGTTAGTCAAACGCAGTCAACGTTAGTCTCGAGCAAGTTAGTCAAACGCAGTCAACGTTAGTCTAGCGAGCAAGTTAGTCAAACGCAGTCAATGTTAGTTCAGCGTTAGTCGAGCGAGCAAGTTAGTCAAACGCAGTCAACGTTAGTCTAGCGAGCAATTCAAACGCTGTCAACGTTAGTCTAGCGAGCAAGTTAGTCAAACGTCAATGTTGGTTCAGCGTTAGTCTAGCGAGCAAGTTAGTCAAACACAGTCAACGTTAGTCTAGCGAGCAAGTTAGTCAAACGCAGTCAATGTTAGTTCAGCGTTAGTCTAGCGAGCATGTTAGTCAAACGCAGTCAACGTTAGTCTAGCGAGCAAGTTAGTCAAACGCTGTCAACGTTAGACTAGCGAGCAAGTTAATCAACGTTAGTTCAGCGTTAGTCTAGCGAGCAAGTTAGTCAAACGCAGTCAACTTTTAGTCTAGTCAAACAGTCAACGTTAGTCTAGCGAGCAATTAAGTCAAACGCAGTCAATGTTAGTTCAGCGTTAGTCTAGCGAGCAAGTTAGTCAAACGCAGTCAACGTTAGTCTAAACAAGTTAGTCAAACGCTGTCAACGTTAGTCTAGCGAGCGTTAGTCAAACGCAGTCAACGTTAGTCTAGCGAGCAATTTAGTCAAACGCAGTCAACGTTAGTCTAGCGAGCAAGTTAGTCAAACGCAGTCAACGTTAGTCTAGCGAGCAAGTTAGTCAAACGCTGTCAACGTTAGTTCAGCGTTAGTCTAGCGAGCAAGTTAGTCAAACGCAGTCAACGTTAGTCTAGCGAGCAAGTTAGTCAAACGCAGTCAATGCTAGTTCAGCGTTAGTCTAGCGAGCAAGTTAGTCCAACGCTGTGAAAGTTAGATCAGCGATCTAGTAAGTTCAATGCAACGAATGTTGTAGAAACGTTACAGTTTTGTTACATCTTGGATAGGAGATATGTCATGCTGTGATCAACTATTTTCCTGAACCAAAAACTGTCCGTTCATCCCCAAAGTTATCACATATTTATGGTAAATTTGCAAAGAGCCGTAGCTGAAAAAAATCAGAACAATTTATTTCTTCACTATTAAAAATTTTTTCACGATTTGAAAATATAAAATTTATTTGCAGATATATTTATTTTAAATTTGTGAATCACTAATTTAGATGAAATCTTTAATCACTAATATCTTCCGCGCTTACGGTCATACCATCTAGAAACACAAGTTCTCGTATGATCACCGAAGTTAAACAACTTCCTGGTTGGTCATTATCTAGATGGGTGTCCGCTTGGGAATACCAGGTGTCGTAAGCTTGAATATGCGCATAGTGAAGTGGTTAACGGCTCGGAAATAGAAATTCAGGATGTCGACTTTTAATTCAAGTAGGATCCGTTATATTCATTTACGCGTTAATATCCTTGGCAAAGGTATGAATCCAGCTATTCACCCCAAGATATGAGTTAATTAGTATGATTTGCATCAGTAAATCGATTCCGTTGCTAAAAAAATATCTTACAACCTCAAAATATTTTCTGGCTTGAAATAACCCGCAAAAGGTTGATAAGCCGTAAAAAAACACAATTCCAGCTAAAACCTTCCTGAAATTTATTATCACTTTTATGTTAATATAACCTCACATTATTTACATTATTCGAACTATTGTCCCCATCTTTGTCGCCATCAGCTATTTCCTGTTAATATCCCAAGTTCTCCACTGCCTTAATCATGTATTGAACTCACATTTTTTGAGGCCTGTCACAAACAAACGCCTTTATCCACCGTACCATGTTTCCTTGAAGAAGGCCGGAGCGTACAACGGCCGAAACGTTGTAATAAATATGGCGACAAAGATGAGGACAATAGTCAGAATAATGTAAATAGTGTACATAATAACTCATCTCAGACATAGAGACAGATGTTCAGTTCGACATTCCAACCACCTGAAGAAGGCCGGGCATACAACTGCCGAAACGTTGTAATAAATATGGCGACAAAGATGGGGACAATAGTCCGAATAATGTAAATAGTGTACATAAAACCTCATCTTAGAAATATAGACAGATGTTCAGTTCGACATTCCAACCACCTTAAGAAGGCCGGAGCATACAACGGCCGAAACGTTGTAATAAATATGGCGACAAAGATGGGGACAATTGTCCAAATAATGTAAATAGTGTACATAAAACCTCATCTTAGAAATATAGACAGATGTTCAGTTCGACATTCCAACCACCTGAAGAAGGCCAGGGCATACAACGGCCGAAACGTTGTAATAAATATGGCGACAAAGATGGGGACAATAGTCCGAATAATGTAAATAGTGTACATAATAACTCATCTTAGAAATATAGACAGATGTTGAGTTCGACATTCCAACCACCTTAAGAAGGCCGGAGCATACAACGGCCGAAACGTTGTAATAAATATGGCGACAAAGATGGGGACAATTGTCCAAATAATGTAAATAGTGTACATAAAACCTCATCTTAGAAATATAGACAGATGTTCAGTTCGACATTCCAACCACCTGAAGAAGGCCGGAGCGTACAACGGCCGAAACGTTGTAATAAATATGGCGAAAAAGATGGGGACAATAGTCAGAATAATGTAAATAGTGTACATAATACCTCATCTCAGAAATATAGACAGATAACTTCACATGTCAGCATATTTACAACAATACAAAATAACGTTACAATCATGTTGTGGGGAGTCTACCGAAAATGGTTTTTGCAAACTCTTTGTACAGTTACAGCAACGTGCTATTTCTTAGCTGTGAGAAAAAAAAATATCAATCCTATGTCTGGAATGTATAGCGCCGTGCTACAGTAAAATAAATTTCATAATTTTTGTTTTATATAGCCCTTTGTAAGGTAGCGGTTATCAATCAAGTCTAAGAAGAAAATATTTCTACTAAAGTGCGTTCCATCTTCACTAAGTACTCTACACATATAGCCTTGCGCCACACTATAATAATCATAGTAAATATATATTTTTGCTGACTGTTTGTGAAGAAGTTTGGCAAATACCTATTAAAAGGTATAAAGATGTTGGCTACTGATATGTTAACCCAACAAGAGGATATATTTGAAAGAATATTTCTAAGACTTCGCGTAATGTTTCGAAAAGATAACATGAAATGCATATTTAAGTAGAACCATTCTAGTAGACTATAATTCCCCCAGTGCACGTCCCATGACTATATTGAAAAATAACCGACTCTTCAAGACAGTTACCTTCATAATTTTCCTGACAAGAGTTTTAAATTGGTCCATAGATTCCCCAGACTTGTGCCTTTGTTCTTTTTACAATCTAACATCATAATCAACATATCCTCCGTGTGGACGGACTGATATGTGTAAAAGCTGTCAGTGTAAAGAAAAAAAAAAGATGAAGAAAAGTGGACTCAGCGATTCGAGCGCAAAATCTGACAAAGCATATTTTGTTTATTTGGTATTATTGGCCTTTGAAAAGGGTTTACTACGTTCTTTTAATTTAAGTGGTAACCAATGTTGGAGAAAAAAAAAATAACAAACTCGGAATTAAAGCATCTACTGTTTTACGTGAATATCCAAACACGGAAAAATTACAGAAAGAAAATTGGAGGAGTCCTTAAAGCGGTTCGCTTTTGACATCTATTCAGTAACTCCTACAGCCAAGCCAGCGCCTCACATTAGCTTGGACATCGGTTATATTTTAAATGCTGTCTTGCTGTCTAGACAGTGCCTCCATAGATTGATTTTTACTAATTATCCATCGTTTATGGCTTATTTAAAGCCGAAACATTTGTTTTGTGTTACAAAGTATTATTTTGCAAATAAATGTTTCTCTGGATTTTATCAAGGGTCAATAATGTGTTATGTCGCTTCACTCTAAATCACTTCTGCATTGTCTGAAATTCTAGCCTAAATAGTTTAATGATTCCGTATATATATGTATATAAATTTAGAGTGAAGCGATCCTGAGAAATTTAGAAGTCCTACGAGGAATCAGCATAAAATACTTCTGCTATATATCTAGAGACCTTTAATAAAATCCAAAGAAGAATCAGCAATATTATTGGTCCTGATCTGGCATCTCAGTTTCAGTGAATTTTCCACCACTGTAAATTTGCCTCCTTGTGTTTTTTCTATAAATACTTTCATGGTAATTGTCCACCCACCACAGACAATGAATTGTACATATGGGGACTAGTTAGAATTTTCATTAGAGACAATCAGGTATTATGGTGGATGTAGTAGGAAAGGTAAGTAAGAATGTGTTGTTTTGGTGTTAGGAATATTGTTTCTATGTCTGGGTCAGTGTTTGTGGCTAGCTAAGTTTAAAGTTTAGACAAAGACCGTCCTTTTCCCCAATCCCCATATTGTACTATATTTAGTCGTCCCCCCACGAGGGCGTCTTGTGGCACAAGGCCTTTTTAACGTGGGCATTTGCGAGCCATTAGGCTCGGCCAAAAAATAGCCCATTTGAACCCGTATAAACAGGTTCAGGGCCGGTTTTACCTCCTCGAAGGAGGCTACGCCGAAGGGCGTAGCCTCCTTCGGGTTCCTCTCCGTCCGTAGACAGAGAGTTGAACCGAACCGTCGCTCAGAAAGTGAACCAATCCCCATATTGGACTATTGCCTCATTTTGCAAATATTTACAAATAAATATCGCTCTCCGCAATGATACGTAGGCTTTATTTAGATAAGAAACTACAAGAACTACAGAAAGTTGTGTCTTTCTTTCTATGGGCCGTGTCCATTAAGGACGTAGGCGATCATAGCCCTCCACCTCCCTGTCTCCCTTGCAGATTTCAACAAATTCTTTCCCTCTGCTACCCCCCGACCCCGTTCTATTATCCACTTGCTAGTTATGTCATGCATTGTTTGCCCTTGTCTCTCTTTCCCTCTATTCGACCCGTGAGTATCAGATTCATCCAGGCCCTCCTTCATCAATATGTGTCCCAGAAGCTTTAGCTGCCTCTTTCCGATATTAAGTATAAGCCTCCACCTTGTTTGCATCCTCTAATCGTTGACCTCATCTTTGCTCACACGCTCGGTCCAGGATATCCTTAGCATCCTTCTGTAGAACCACATCTTTGTCGCCTTGAGTATCTTCTTCATCTTTGAGGAAATCGTCCAACGATCGCTGCCATAAAGGCTGTCCTTTATGGCAGCGAATGTTGGACGATTTCATGTAACAGCTCAGTATTCTTTTCTTTGTTACCAAAGAACTCTTCCTGTCTTGCAGTACTCTGCCCAGCTTTTAGAATGCGTCCTTGGCCATCCCAATAAGTCTACGGATCTCAGGGTTGCACTTACCCTCCTCTTTCAAAACACTTCCCAGATATTTAAACTTCCGTGTCTGCTTGATTCTAGTGTTCCCGACCTGCAAATCGCATTTCGGGCTCTTCCTTTCACTGATGACAATGCATTCAGTCTTCTTATAGTTTACACTTAGTCCCTTCTTCTCACTCTCCGTTGCTACCTTCTGTAGGAGATTTTGTAATTTCTTTTCAGTGTCTGCTATCAGTACTGTGTCATCTGCATATCTTATGTTGTTAAGATTGTGGCCGCCATTGTTAAATCCCGGTAGGGTTTTCAATTCTCTCATAATTGGCTCGCTGTATAGGTTGAACAGGTCGGGTGAGAAGACGCATCCTTGCCTTACGCTCCTTTCTATTTTTGTCTATACACTGAACTCGTTCCCTATACGCATGCATGCTGTTTGCTGCCAGTATAGGTTCTTGATTATTTTGATATCTTTCCCGAATATATCGAGGTTGCTGAGCAGTCCCAGCAGATAAATTAGTATAGAAAAGCGAAAAGAAAGAACTAAGAACAGGTAGGTATTTTATGCAGTAAAATGAAAACGTTCAAGACGCGAACTTGGAAATACCAAAATCAAGAAAGTACAAACATTTAAATACCTATCCTATATCTATCCTCTTATATGGCACTAATTGCTGGACAAAGATTTCTTCACGGATGAAGAAGAGAATTGAGGCAAATGAAATCCGGTTCTTCAGAAGGATGTTGAAAATACCAGGGGATTGAAAGACGAAGTCTTAGGGAAACTGAAAAAAAAATTAAAAAAAAACAGTTGACATTTCTATGGCGCATGACGGCTTAGAAACTTTGTACCCAAATTATATTGAAGGCAAGAGGGACAGAGGAAAGCAGTGAATAACCTACCTAATGATTCTGTGTAAATAGTTGACAAACAGGCTTGAAGAGAGCCTGCAAAAAGAGAAAACTTAAGAGCTAAATTAATTGATTAAATTTTACTTTACGAAATTGATTTTCAGTTATGAGTTCAATCTCTCAGCT